GTCGGCCACAGTTCACCCCTCCTTTTGTCCGTTAACAGCCGTATTCAGTTTAGTTTTTGGCGGGGCGCGTTAAGCGGCCAGTGAGATCCCGGAACATATTAAATGATCGTGTAATTACGAATGTTTGCCCGGACCCTCTTCATACTCCCTTTTCACCGGTGTGTTCCTCTTTGTTCCCGGGTATCCCCGACTCGCGTCTCACCTTTTTATCCGGACGAGCACCTCACGGTGTCTGGTTATGGACAGAAGAGGGTTAGATAAAGAGACGACGGCGAGTCTCGAGGTCATTTCGAACCAATTTCAGCAATGCCAGGCATTTAAATCGAGGGCCTGACGTAATCCTCGTCTCTCTTACTGTTCGCATTCCTCGCCTCATACGTTGTTCCCTATTACCATTCCTCTTCTCTTTCACCCTCTTCTCTAACTCGTCTCCATTCATTCTCATTCCTTGGTTTCTTCTCACTTTTTTTATTTTTAATGTTGGATCTCTTCCTTCTTCATCCTGCAGCCAGGCAGACTGGCGCTTCTCTATGACCCTCTTTCGTTGGTACGCACCTACGCATACCAAATGAAAGCGTACACTGTCTTCCATCGCTGGCACGCTGCTCATAATCGCCCCCGTCATCGCATGATTCCGGCTACGTCGCTTCGAAGAAAGGCCGCTTTCACGAACGCTGCCAAACTGGCTGCGGTCGTTACCCTTTATCATGCACCGATTCGACAATTCCCTATTTATCGATCCCACTAATACTGATACGCCTCGTCACGATCATCCCACGGTTCATAGTTAAGCTTAATTTGATGATACCAGAGGTGGGATACGAAACACCATGAAATAGTAAAGATTACCTTCGCAACAAGTCTACCGAACCTGAAGTCAATCCCATTGGTTTAATTAATTTTAGAGAGTTCTTTTTAATTTTTACTCCTTTCGGTCGCTATGCGTTGAAGGAAAATATAAAGGAAAGTACTTACCACTGTCCTTATGTTCTAAAATCAAAAGCAAATGCTGTTTTACTGTTTGATTTGGAAAGCTCTCTGAACATTTTGAATTACAAGTTTCTCGTAATTTATTTTACCGTCTTCAGAGTTATGAAGTATAACTTCGTGAATCCATTTAATGCTTTCAAAGTAGGAATTTGTTCGAGTTATTAAGGAAAGTTCAATTTAGCTTTCTTGAAGCTGTTCCTTAATAATATTAAGTAGAATTCATCCTGAACTTCTATAATTTTAATGTATCTAATTTGAAACTTTCAGCTTTTTAAATTGCCAGCTTACATAACTTAAATTTATTTTTTATATTTATTATGAGTAAAATATTGGCATTAAAATAAAATAAAAATGTAAATTAAAAGATTGTTTTCAGCTTTAATAAAAGTCCACTCATCTATGAATAATAAAGTAATCTCTGAATTTTTTATGAATTTATTTACAGCATTGATGCACCAATAAATTATTTTGCAAATGAATAATTCACACTCAATCCACAAAGGGAATATATTGTCTTGTTAATATTTATAAAAATGTATTTCTATCTTTTAAACGATAAAAATATATATCACAAATTGAATGTAATTTTATATGATCCTTATTAGTATGCACGAGATGATATTAGTATGAAAGTAACGTGATATAAAGTATGCCAATTACTAGATCGAATCTCTTACCATGTTACACGTAACACGAAACAGGTTGGGCTACAGCTTTAGCACCATAAATTATGTAACTCAATTCACTTATATTTTATTAAATTCGTTATCACCTACATGAAATTGATAAAAATTGAAAATAATATAAATTTTAAAAATTGTAATGAAAAATCGAAAGCAATATTAAATACTCATAACTTCATTTCTGGGCTGTTTGCAAACGCAAACAGTGTAAAATAGTAATTTGTAACGATAATGATGTTTGCAAAAAGAAGTTTCTTTATATAAACTTAATGATATTCTAAAAGTTTTCTAAACTTCCAGCTACCACTTAATTGCAATTCTCCAGCAGGCACTATAATTAATCAGTGCACGTAGAAAATTGCATCTTCTCATCATTCTAACCAGCGAATTTCAATTAAGCATTCAAAAGCTCTGCTCGTAGATCGATCGTGAATCCCCCAGTCGAACTGGAATCAACTCACTGCACGATTCATCCCTCATTTAAACTGGCCACGATCGCGCTAATGAAAATCGCGAATCTAATTAAACTGAAAACGTGAATTTCCCATGTGAACTTAAAACATAAACAAATATATAATAAATCAACTTTAACATCAATCTTATATAAAAAAGTAAAAGCAACGATAATACATTTTAAATAATTTTATTATCAAATTGGTTTTATCAAACCTAAGAACAAAGATATTTTTTTTTTAATTCTAGAATTCCTAGAAAAAGAATATGTAAATCTGCCTGAGTATAATGAGAAGGAGAATAGGTCCATAAGAATAACAGTTCCGGAGATAAAAATTTATTTATAAGATCAAGATTTATGAAAATGGGACAAAATTTGCAAATATGATTAACTATATTTCCATAACTGTTGGTTTAAGGATCTAGATTCATAAACTGTTTTGTATTCAGAATCACATCCAATTGTATGGTTTTGTCTTATAACTTGGAGAAAATTATGTAAAATATATGAAAGGTATACTCTTCGAAATTATTACAAATATTCAATCAATATTAACCTATTTATATTAGTAGAAGATCTGAAAAATATATCATAATGCAACAATTCATTACCATTCTTATTATTAATTAATTTCTATATTTACACCGTTGAATTAAATAATATTTCAGATGAACAATTGATGGTATACTATTATTCCGTTCACTGGGAAAAAATTATGTTAATTCATTGTTCAAGGAAAAGTGTGCAGAAACCAATACTGCATTTCCTGAAAGAATTTTATATTTAATTGTAGCATTACACTTTAATTAGAAGGGAAAGGTATCGTCTAAAGATACATTGTATACAATGCAGAGTAATTCTTCTTTATTCTCTTCTATTTATACATTAAATACAGTTAACAATTTAATTTCCTGAGAATGATACATCCATCGTCTTCTAAAAATACCACGGTGATCACTTATTTTGTACAGGGTAAAATTAGAATTAGAGACATGCATTTTTGTGCATCGGTGCATCAGAAAAGTGCATCTTCTTCTTTTAAATAAAACTATACTTCTGAATGCATTATTCAATGCAGTTTTTTCTTCTCTTCAAGATACTGAAATACTGATGCCTTTAAATTATTATTTTAACAATTGTTGCAATTTAAAATTATGACTGTTAATCATATTGCAATGAAACTTAAAATTTCTCTCTCTTCATCAAACCAAAAAATAAAGGTAAAACGTTCCAAAAAGATGAAGCAGTCTATTCAGGAGAATTTCGATTGCAAAATTGTACGAATAGAGAAAGCAAGTGAACCAATAAGGTTACCGAGGCAGTACGGTAGTAGAGGCAGCAAAAGCATAGAAACGAATCGTTTCGTCTCGAGAAGGAGAAGATATCCTGGTGGAAAGCAGCTCGTTGACACGAACATTTGCAACTGGAGACACTCAGGTGTTGTGGAGCGAACGGTTGTACAGGCCGACAGAAAGGAGCAAGCCGAAGGAAGAGGTTGGTAATGGTGAAACTATCTTGGGGTTATGCTCCGGTCACTGACATCTCAGACCGTAATGCTATACTCTTTCCTCTCCTGGACACCGAGTTTGCCCTCTGACAGCCTGTATCTTGAGATTGCGAGCCTCTTTCACGATGCAACTCTCCATGCTTCCACCTTGTACGACTGGATAACCAGATACGTATCTATGAAAAATATCAGATTCGTGGAAAAGTTCTGTCCTATTTCATTAGGTCACGGCTCTGAAGATGTCACGCTTGAGAACCATCATTTAGACATTTAGACATAAATCAAGGTTTGATGACTGTGAATCCCAGAAATCTTAATCCGTGTAAGTTTGACGGAAATATTATTTTCACGAGTCCTACGCAAGGTGTTATTGATTACTTGAAAAAATGATTGATGGAAGTTGGTTGCATAGTTGATTGAGATATTAATGGAAAATCGTATGGGATGCCTCTATGTTGAACATGTTGAATAATTTAAGTAGAATTTATGAGTATTTTCTCATTAGATTATCAGGAATACTTAATCTTTGAAAAAGATATAAATTTTCCAATTACATTTTGAAAATGTTTAGATCTGATTCTAATATCTTGTTTCCATGAAATTCTATAAGAATGATGTTAGCATTTCATTCCTCTTGTGTTAGAACCATATGTAATCGCATTGTTACATGCACTTTAGTAAATACCTGATCGACCGTGAGCGAGTGCCACTAAACCGATTACTATACTTTATGGTGCGCGGTGTTAACAGCCATCCTCGTAAGTGCACTTAACAGCAACTTAAATGTATCCGAGAGACTGTTAAACATCAATCTAATTTCAGATTAATCCATGGATATTAATCCGCCACTTTCCAGGGGATAGAAACTTGTTTAGAAATAATTAGCAATTAACCAGGAAACTTACACTTTCGTGGATGTGTAAACTTTCTGATGGAGAATTCCTGTTGATTCAAGATTTATTATTATCGTTATTTGTTTTTGTTCTTCGTGGAAATAGAATTTGCATCACTTTTCTCGGTACAGAGGAAGATATTTATACCTGATTTCGAGAACATGGTCAGGAACGGATTCAAATTTCCAAGACCCTGGATCCATGAAACCTTTCATGACCCCCTTGATTGGTAAACTCACACTTTAATTAAAAATTAAAATTTAATCTAAATAAAATTAAATAACGTTTAACTCGTAATTATTAAATGCATAAAGTATCCAAATTTAAGAAATCTTAAACATTGCCTTAAAAATTAAATCAAAGAAAAATAACATTTATCTTAAAAAAAGAAATTTTGTTCCTTCTGTTCAAAGAATTTCCATGAAATATTTAAAATCAGTTGGTAAATATCATTCCTTTCCGTTCTGTTTCAGCCGGACCATGAACAATGGAAGATTCGAGTGACGTCTGGATGGAAAAAAAAAGGAGAAAGAATCGAAAGTAGGATGAACCGTGAACGGTCTTGATTCCTTGGTCGTCATAGCTGAGTGCAGCTTCGGAGTTCTCTGCGCTCTTCACTTCTTTCTTCCTTCATTCTCCTCTATCCGGCACCCTATTTTCCTATAGCCCCTCTAATGGCTCTCGAGGTCCCTGTCTTATCGGTGACACTCGTCCCACCTGCTTCTGGATCTTTTCTCAATGCTTCCAATGTTCTCGCGGTGACACGGGAACACGATTGGGGAAATCGGTGAAAGAAGAACACGAGAAGAAGGGCATAAGAGCCGAACGTTACGGGCGGGCCTGACTCTTTGCTCTGCCCGTATCTGGTCGTTTGGGTGAGCAAAGTTTCAGGTGTGTTCGTGGCAGTCTATCGTCATGGTTTATGGAGCAAATTAAATTATTGCTCGGTAAATTGGTTAATATTTTTATTAGGACTCTGCCATATCGAGGGTGACGTCTTATGATGACATTCGATCTATAGGCTTGACGTCTTATGACGACATCTGTGCTGAGAGTGTTAGGTAAAGTTTTTCTTTAATTTCAAAAAGACATGTAGCATTAAGTGATAAAAGAATTCCTTATTTCAAAAATTTATTTACAGGTCATGCATGGTCTAAAATTCTACTATACTTTTTTTTTCTTATAACAAAGAAAGGAATTTATTAGTGCTTGTAATGAATATGTTAAATATAATGGAAATTAAATGTCTGCAGGAAACGGGAATAAATATTTAGGTTGTAACGAAGCATCCTCGACAGTACTCTTACGCCTGAAATTTGCTTTTTACCTGGCCCTCGTGCTCTCTTACTTTGAGAAAACAAAGGTGAGCAAAGTTTCAGGTGTGTGAGTGCGTTGGAATCAGCAGTGAATCGTGATAATGGAAGAACCGTATGCTGTATCATCTTGAAAAATAAAGTATTATTAAACTATTGTCCTCAATATAATAAATAAAATTATTTTGTGTCAACTAATGGATAAAAAATATTAACCCAAAGTTGAAGATTCAATAGAAACTACTACATAATGAATCAACTGATTTTTAGTTTAATACTGTCCATTAGCGAATATCCAATATTCAGTCGCCTATATCGATAATTCTAAATATAATAATGTAAATAAAAATCTTAAAAAATTGTTTTATTAAATAAAAATTATTGTAATCCTAAATTTCCAACTCCCTTAAATATCTTCCATTAAAATTACAAAATTAAGTTATGTTTCTCAGTTTGACGCATATTTAAGTATCCCACCAGATATATAAATATAATTTGTTGACGAATTTAGCTCTCACGAAAATCGTAATAAATGATTCGATTTAAAATTAAATTTTCCTGCTGGAAAACTGGTAGCCACAAGGGATGCGTTCAAGAATCGGTTAGTCTAAGATTAGCAATGAAGTTAGACAGGTCTTGGAAAGACTAATAAATCAAGTCAAGCGTTAGGATCTGGTTTCCGTCAGTGTCAGGCTTCCTCCTACGTGTATAAATCAATAACAGGCTGGTTAAAGCCGATGTAATTGAGAGAATGTAATTTTATACTTGAAAGTCAATAAGAAATTGTACACTCGCGTTAAATCAAATAAATCCGAGGGGATTTAATTAATTTTACACTTCAGACTTGAGATACTTATTTTCAATATTTTGAAATTATGCATATAGAAATTAAAAATATTTAGATAATTCAAAACAAGTATAACTTGAGAAACTTTGTATATCTATTATATATTCATAAAAATATGGAAAACAGTTTTCTTACATCAATTTTTGCTTTCTAGAATAGTCGGTTTAATGATTCATCATTTCTTTATTAATTAAAAAAATAATTTTTAAAGGAACAGGATAAATTTTAGAAAATGAAAATACAATAGTATGGAATACAAAATTAAATTAAAATTGGGGTTCTGTCCATGGTCCGCCGTCCGAGGGTTAAACTAATGATCCTATTAAACGGTCTTTAAGCATCCTTAGTAAAATAATACAGGAGTACGATCAACGACGATTCAGCGAATTGCTTCCATTTAAATATGAATTTACCCCAGGCAATTAATTAATTAATCCATCAAAGGCATCGCGTTTGCGGAGGGGGAGCACGGTGAACTTGTCTGTTAGGGCTTATAGGATTGTACCTTCATACATCAGAATTACGTACCGTGTTCAGGATAAGGGTACTTATTTTCAAACGATAATCTACAGTTTACAATCATGAAAGATTATCGGCTTTATAATTACAAAGCCCTACATTTAATATTCAAACACCATGATATTTAAATCATTATTGCTCCATATACCTATTTATAAATACATTAACCCTTTGAACACGATAAATCTATATATGCGTTCAATTATTATGGTGACTTACAATCAGAAATTCATGAATCTTCTTATAATCTTGATAAAAATAACAATTTGGAATTTACAATTATCATCAGCACACAAATTTGGAATTTTGATATAAAATTGGAAACAAAAAAAGACATTTAACAAACATTTTAACTTAAACAATAAAAATTCATAGATTATTGTTTAAAGGGAACGATATTACAGGTACGTGCAGGAACTTGTTCATAGTTTTGCGTCGATAGTTGATAATACCTCGAGTTCGTTATTGCCAAAAGTTTCGACTGTTAAACTAACGTGCTGATAATATTGCTGGCATCGAGTTTAAACTGTTAACACATCGGCCAGCCTACCGTGTATCCGAAATATATTAGTCGCGATAAGAACAACTGAACTGTTGTATTTTAGGTGTCGGATAAGTTACCTGTTATCTGTTTGCCCCCTTTATTACGTTTCTTCAGCGGCTCAGGTTAATTAGAAAACTTGCTATCTGCTTCTTTTTTTTTATTTTTTAATATCATTCTCATTGATTTCATGATTGAATCTCTATCTGTCGAAACAATAAAGAGAAAAGAGTGTTCAAATCTTTAAATAAAGCCTTTCATTTAATTTAATTAAATTTTTTATTCAGCTAGTAATTAATTACTCTAATTTAGTAATTATTATAAATATAGTACTGTGCTAGTTGACCCGATGTAGATCCAATAAAAATTAAATAATAGAAATAAAACTAAAAGATGAAGGGTCAATTTTAATCATGCCATGTCCTGTACATTATATTTTTAACAATGAGTCATGGTACCTAAGGGTTAAAGGAATCGGTGGAAAAATGTCCTTATTTTCTTTCTTGGAAAAGTCTATAACAGTCTATGATTTTCTCTCTATGACGGTTTCTCTGCCCCTAACACGCGACGTTTTATTGAATCGAGCCATTTTATGAAGGAATAAAGAGGAGATATTTGTGAGACTCGTATCGAGCTCCGTTTGTCTCGAATTTTATTGCCAAGTTGTTCCAAGTGTTCGCTACCGTCGCGTCGCACGGTATTCCTTTAAATCATGAACGTGGAAACAGAGTCCGATCACGTGAACAGGGAAGATAGAAAACGTGCGATCGTGAACGTACATGTATCTATTGTTGAACGGGCATTCAATGGATTATTGAAAAGGGGAGAAGGTGTATTTTTGACGCAGAAGGTCGTCGATTCGATAATTGATTTTACGGGACGGTCTATCGAAGAAATGAGGACGCAGTTCTGTTCTTTTGTCGTTAAAGAGCACGGAAAAAGATTCAAGGCTGGTGTATTAAAATGTACACTTCGATATTTAAAGCTATTGTAAGATAGAATTTTAGAATTTTGGAATTTAAAAATTTTAGGATGATGAAGGGAGTCCACTTTTTAAAGGACCAAGCTCTTCTTTGACCTATTCTAATTGCATGCACCAGTCAATTCATAATTAAAATAATTTTTAACACAAGAAATAACACCACAGATCGACCTTCTGTTAATCGAACTCCTGTTTACATCAGAATTAGAAGAAACAACTGGTTGCATAGGTGGGTTGCATAGGTGATCCCTGATACGATAAACCTGAAGTGCATGTAAGCAGCATGGTAAGCTTTACGCAACACCCTGTCACGACAGAATGGATATCCTTTGCGCAATATCTATAAATAAACTAGTTCATAGACAGACTATAATAATGAGACATTACTCTGGACAAGAATAATAAATCTTAGATTAGATTGGTAAATTTGCAACAATATACTCGATTGCTTGATTATTTCTTCGCCCTGTTTCACGGTTTAATCGGACCATTTGTCGACTGATTTTCTATGTGACACAAACTGCATAAGTAGTTCTATTGGAAATTTATAATATTATTCTTTTTAAGTCCTTTTCATTTTAAGTTTCACAACATTTAAATGTTTCCTGAAGGTTTTACACGTGAAAATGCAAGTATCCGCCTTGCATTACATATGCAAATTTAATTATCCTCGTTTAATAATTGATAGATAAGCTGTAACTATGACTAATCGGGAACTCCATTGATTAATCGTGTCTTTTGAATTTAATTATCAACACTGATTACATATTGTACACGCATTATGATAATTAACTAATAAAAATGACACTAAAAGTGATAATTAACTAATATTCCATTAATGTTACGCTAATATAATTATCAATAAAGAAATCTTCTTAAGCTCTATGCTGTTCCTATCGAATTGAGATATTCAACAATTTTTAAGTCTTTTAAAAAATTGTAAATTATGGTAATAATTAATTGGTACATTATTTGTATAACGATTATGATTGCACCATTAAATAATGCATACAATTATTGTTACATATGATGTCCTAATTTCTTATACAGTACCGAGCATGGTACTGCATCGATAATGGCACCGTGTTAAAAATCATGTTAAAATTAAGTTTTTACAACATTTTCAATTTATTAAATTAATTATTTTACAAAAACTATTGTTTTTAACACAAATTAAACCATTAAAGTACCTTAATTTACAACATAAACTTAAAAAAAGGAAGACAATACCATTATCTACACGGATTAATTGTAAAAGAGCGGTGATTTACAAATTTAAAGTATTAAATAAATAGAAAGTGAACAATAATATAAATGATTCTATTCATAGTAAAATCATCGATTCTCTAATTACGAATGCTACTATTGTGGCGCCATCATCAATGCCATAATCATTTTGTCAACACAGTGACTACAGCACCTATCCTTTGTATACGACGTCATATGAGTAAGGCAATGATTTTGGTAAGTCTAAGCTACGTTTGAGACAGGATTTGAAAATTCTGTTCGACGTATCAATTAATTATTAAATCTAATTTGTAATCTTATCTGTTAATGCAATTGATAACGTTATATCACAATAAGTTTATGATGTAACCTCTTAAAAATATATGATTGTCTTTTGTTTCTTTTTTCGTTAATTTCTTCAAGATTCAAATTATTCCAAATGTTATAATTTTCGATATTTCGCAATCGAACTTACATTTGAAAATATACATTTTAAATTTTTCTCTCAACTGATTTGTATTCGTATTTTTAAGTTACTAATAAGTTGACCAGATTGACGTGAATTGTTACAGTGCTGTTGGACATTGGGATCATTGGATTAATATCAATGCGGATTAATACTCAACCATGGAATCCAATGAAGCAAAAAAATCTTCGTTACAAAACCAAAACTCAACCGAATCATTGAGCATTGACTCAAGATACATTGAACCAGAAAGTCACTTACAAAGTCTTGGTTTTACCATAGATAATGGAAAGGCTAGATTTAAATTGGATGATGATACATCTGCATATTCAAATGCTGCATTAACAAGTTTTAATGTTGTTGACACAGATGATACATTATCCTTTGTGGTATTAGGTAAAGACTCATTGGATGCTATTCAAGCATCATCCCTTGCATCATATGTTGACATCCAGCAAAAGAGTATGTCTGTTGTATGTGTCTGTTTAACTAAAAATTAATATTTAAAGTAAAAGAATTGTACTAATCACAATTGTTATTTGTTTACAGGATTACAACTCCATGATCGCATTATGGGATTCAACAGAAGTACATAAAAAGCTAAATGAATTACTGCAAGAAAATACGAAGCTGAAAGAAACATTAAAACAGAACAACATAGCTATGAAACAGCAGTTTAATACCTTGTCCAATTGGCAGGAAGAAATCATGAAAGTTCATCAAAATCATAAAAAGAAATTTGCTGAAACTAGAGAGTTAATAAATTACCTCAAAAAG